AAAAAAAAAAAGGATAAAATTTCCATGTTAAGCTCCGAAAAAAGAAAACTTCCAGTAATTCAAAAAATACAAATCAAGATAATGAGCATCGTTGCTAAGTTGAGTGTAGCATAATGGCACAACTACTTCATACAAGATTTGCACTCGTACAAATAAACTCAAACCTTAGTGATAAGAACTGGATATTTCGAAACATACATGCATTGGCTCAAGAAAAGCTCACACCAGTGTTAACTAAGAATTTATACCTGCATTGTTATGATCGGCTTGTTCTTTCCTGTGATTCTCCATGCATTGCACAAGAAACTTAAAGGTCTCGGTATCACAAGGGATCGTAAGTCCGCCACTGTGGTCGAACCCAAACTCCTCTTCGACCTTCTCAAGCAGCACCTTGAAAAGCGGGTCACTGAGGTAGCTTGTGGGTATGATGAACCTCCGGAGCTCGGGACCCACATACACGGCCAGGTACCCTTTGGGGACATCGTTCGGCATCTCCAGGCTCTGACAGCTGTCCTCATCCGAGTCGCAGTGAGCGTTTGAGCCCCTAAGCCTCCAGCTGATCTCGGGCGAGATGCCTCCACAGACCTCGCTCGTTTTCGGGCTCTCCCCGGGCTTCGGACCCAGGGTGACATGCTGCCATTTCTGGAGGAACTCCTTGAACTTGACGATTTGTCTGATGCCCGTCACCTTGCTTCCTCCATTGTCATCCATTTTCACCCTTTTGGCGCGACACGATGATTTTGGTAAATGTTGGGTGTCTATTTTCTTTTCAGGCTTTGGGTTCTTGTTGCACACGTCTCATCAGATTATCATGCTCCACTGCAATTATATAGATAAACACATTGTCAACAATTAATTTCTACAACAAGTAAGAAGGAAAAGAAAAAAACAGAGCCGGTTTTTGTGCTTAATGAAGGACTATAAACACTCGGTCGGTGCAAGCACAGAAACAAAAAATGCTTTCACTTCAAAAATCTGATTTCCTTTGACAGCAGAATGATTACTTCACAAGGTTGGTACAAATAAAGGATGCTTCTCAGTTCAATATTCTGATTTCCTTGGACAATAATTCCATGTGAATGTGACTTTCTTAACCACGATTACGCAACAATTATACAATATAACAATCAGCAATTACCAGAATCAGGACAGAATCTGCCTCCTTAACCACGATTACGCAACAATTATACAAATGCTCCATAACCCAATCCATACATTCCCCAAATATATGATTCGATCTTATCGGTTAACAAGCAGCAAATGCACAAGATACGAAATAATCCGCAACCAAAACGTGAAGATATGCTGCATTTACATCTTCCCAATTGGAATAATAAACAGTTAAACCATGAAAAATCTGAAAATCCTAAGCATGAAACTAGAACAAACAAGATATGAACGTACATAATTACACATTTGCTACCATTTTCCCCAACGGAAAAATCTGGAAACAAATGCGAATCGAGATTCACATTACACCTCGCCAAACACGAACCGCGAACCTAATAAATCCCCAATTTCAGCTCAGAAACACAGAAAAAAACAAAAAAAAAAAAAAAAGACGGAGATTCATGTTCATTCAAGCCAGGCAAAACAAATCGACGATTAAATTATCGATTCTCGGATGAAAATAGGAACAAACATAATCGAATCAATGCCGTAAATCGTGAAATAAACAATAAAAAACAGGGCATGCAAGCAACCGCCGATACGTAAAGATGGCGAATTGACCTAACGGCGAAAAGAAAGGCCTAAATAAACACACAAGCACGCACGCAAACATACAGACCGGGTCGTGGCGGCGGAGACACGGCGGCGGAGGCGGTGGTCAGCAGGCGGGGACGATCAGAAGTTGGATGGGCATTACGAGTAATGGGCACAATGAAGAGACAAAAAAGATTGGGAGCTAAATGTGGGAGGAACTATTTTTATTGATGGTTCTATTTTATTTTCTAAAAAAAAAACAAAAAACAAAAAATTAAAAAGAGAAATTTTAAAAATAAAAACTTGTAGATTTAATTTTTTTATATGTTTTATCTATGACCTCCCCTAATTTCACGGGCCTAGTTTAAGATGCAAAAATGACCAATTTTAAATTAACTTTGTCTCATTAGACAATTCACAATAGAGAAGAGAGAGTTTTTGTTTTTTAAGAGATCATTTTGATACTATAAAGAAATATTGATAGAAATATAATAATAAGAATTTTGTAAATGTAATGGATTAATATTATTGTTTAGAAGGATATACAATAATGTTTAATTTAATTTTTTTTTTACTCGCATTAGTTGGATCATTGATAAAAAAAAGTGAATGAGGTCGATTTTTTTTTTTTTTCAACTCACATACTAAAACATGTTTCACAATTTTTTTCTTTTGGTGAGGTAACCTAATCGGTTAGACGAGTCGGTCATTCGATCGGTCATAATTTTTAAACAAAAATACATATTTATACTAAATAAATTTCATACAGTTGTTTATATATATATATGCTATGAAAAGTATGACTGTCTAATCGTAACGTATTGTATAACAACATGCTTACCGAACATTTTTTTTTTTTTTTATTCCATGGGTAGCTGTGTAATTTTCATTTCGTTATGGCTATGGGTGTCAAATATTACAATAATGAAAATTGAGAGCAAAGGTGGTCAACAAGTAGGAGATTACATTATAGCTAATTTATGAATAAAAAAAATTATGCGTGCTATTTAATTGATGTTATATGATTTGCAATATGAGATATTTTGCGATTACGACTTTCCGTAGGCGTGACCAATATGATGCAATCTTTAATATTTTAATTAACGTTATATTATTTGTAAGACAACATTTTTTCCTGCGATCGTAGTTAGAGCCATCTACAAGTCGTAATATTTTCGAGATCTACTATAAATTAGAAATACGGTCCCGTTACGGAATCATTCCGTCGGGATTTGTGATAGTTAGATTATCATATAATCGTCGGAGATAGTTGATCTAACGGTAAAAATTTTTAATATCGTCGAGCCATGCTTCACGACGAGACCCACGATGTTAGTCGTTGGTAAGTACACGTTATTATGACTAGGAATATATAAGCCATTCGAGACATTTGAAATATGAAAAGTTTACTCACCTAGGAAAACATCTCAATTTTCATCAAGATTCCAGATAAGATGGTACCGTTAATATAAATAAAGCATTATAGTATATTCCATTGACATTTTTTTTTTTTTTTTGGCACTCATTTTTTTATTTGTTTATTTTTTAATGTAATTACTTTCTCTACCACCCCCTTCACACATGGTTTTCAAATAAATTGTCCCGTATGTTTTGTTCTATTTAACATTAACTACGTTGCAGTTGTCAACTTGTCATATAAAAAGAAAAATGAAAAAATAAATTTCCAATTTCTTTTCAATTTTGTTTGTGTAAACAAAAACATGAAAAATTCGGCTAATGAGACATGACGCGTAATGAATAATCTATTTTGCACCTCTAGAGGAATAAACTTCAATGAAGGAGCTAAGCGTTCAACGGGGATGTAGCTCAAATGGTAGAGCGCTCGCTTTGCATGCGAGAGGCACGGGGTTCGATCCCCCGCATCTCCATCCTTATTTTATGTACATTTTCATTTTTTATTTTCTCCTTTTTTTATGTACATTTTCATTTTTTATTTTCTTTTCTTTGATGAAGTCGCTTCATGAATCTCCAAATCAAATACCAAAATCCATTCATTATACAAAGAGCTTAAGATGAAGCTAGAAATTGAGCAGCCGAACAGCGACCAAAATCAAGTCCCTCATTTTGACAGTTGGCAAGGGGCTCGCTCGACTTTAACAGTGTGGATACTAGCCACAATTGGACTCTTAACCACCTTACGGCTGTCGTCTATGGGTTTCTCGTTTTCGAGCAGTGGTAAAAAAGGATAGTGAGTTTCACATGCTTCAACTTTCCTTTTTTTTTTTTTGATTTTTTTTTTTTTTACTTTATATGTTTGAATCTGAAATCTCGTTTCTGATCGAATGGTGAGCGCGTCTTTACATTTTCACTAACATATCGTATAACTGGATGTGGCAAAGGCAGATGTTCGCAACATTATGCGGTGAAGATTTTGAAGGTAATGTTTCTAACTGCATATGTTCAGGCTAAAGGTGGCATATCTTATAAGAAGGCAATGTTAACAAGACAGGATAATTTTGACCGACATAGAATTGAAGGTGTCTAAAGAAAACCTGCTGTAGCCTGACCAAATGAAAAACCCTTTGCAGTTTACCTTAAATTGTTCGTCCTATGGATGTATTACCTTTCATTAGTATCCTAAAGGATCTCTTGAACAAAACGAAAACCAGAAAAGAAGATTCAATGGTACGCGTTTGGAAAGACTTTGAGATAATTACAAATACAGTCGAACCTGAAATTTACTTGCCGTTTGTAATTTAGGACTCGAACACAGACAGCAGCCAATCGAACAATAGCTCAAATAGCATAACCTATTCATGCGACACACCAAGCAATAAGAAAAAAAACAAAAAAATAAAAAATAAAAAAATCATAAAACATAAAATGAGGAGTCTCAGCAAATAGAAGCATCCTTGCAGTACAGAAGGTGAGACGTCAGAAGATATCTCTGTCCACATTCTTGATTTTATCTGGAATCTTCTAGACATGACCAAATTATGGAATAACTGATAGAATATATGAAGACATGACCTAGGAAGTGTTTTGTTGTAATATACGGTGAACTCGGCCAATGCGCAGGTAATTTCCTTACAAGACATCAACAAGTTCCGACTTTTCACAACAACACTCCTAAAGCAAGATCGATGAGGAACTAACTACACATTGAGAATGAAACTATGCTTTTATTCCAGCAAATGTAAGCGCATAAAATATTCTTAGTAGCAGCACAGTCAAATGGCCCAAATTGTTAATTTGTTTTTGGCAGGATGTAAATTGAGAATAAGAAAATGCAATTTTTTTATTTTTTTTATTTATTTATTGTAGTTAAATGAAAAAGAAGATGTAAAACAGATATACACATGGTTCACTGAAGAATGAACTTATATTCACGTAGATGCAGCTGCATGCAGAATTTCTCTCATTGGATGGAAGAAAAGGTAGCGTATTACAAATCATCGAAATATATCATGTCTGGGTCTTGACATACGTACTCTCGACTACAATTTAAATAATATCATATATGATCACCAGTTGCAATACCCGAAATACTTATATCTTCAAATTTTTCAAAACTTTCCCCGAGGTTTTCATGTACCTGAACAAAAATAACAATAGCACCCACATATAGAGCAATTTAGTCATCCTTCAACCTCCTGAGAAGTTTGGATGCCCAGCGACGTACACGTTTCTTCAGTGTGTAACCGACAAATATTCCAGCAACGAAAAAAACAGCGCAAAGCTTCGAGCAGGTCCATAGCGATACGAAGTTTCTGCACCAAAAAGATTAAGGTTTGCATATTCAGTTTTTTTTTTTTCCCCTCTTAAATCTTTCCCTCTGCTTTTGATTCACCGGAACGCAACAGATTGAGAACACTGTGTACGTGACCTATTTTCTCATGTTCTGGGTGTAGCTCATGAGAGATGCTTTAGCTATACAAATAGTTTTTAAAACAATGGTACATAATCAAACTTCTCCTCTCGGAGTCAGTTTTGAATAACAATGAAAGATGATCGAAATTCAAAAGATACTCCTGGATCATATTCAAGCAAAGCAGTATGAAGTTTCAATTCAGTGTTGATTTAAGGGGAAAAATTATTAGATTCGGAGCAGCTAGAGCAAAACCCAAACCCAGCATTTACAAATTATGTCACATGATGATAGTCATAGTACTGATTCAAATAGAAAATTAATCTCCTAACAGTGTTCTTACAGGATCTGAGCCTCTCATAGCTTTTACGACTTTCTAATTTTACCCTACATCTTTAACTTAAAAAATCATCAAAAAAACAAAAATTACCAAAATGAAAAGACAAAGGAAGTTTGGTTCCCAATTGAGATGAAAACAGATCCAGCAAAGAAAAATAATACTTGAAATGTGAATAAAAAGATTAAGAGTATATTGTTTTAGGTTATTTCGAGCCAATTTGAAAATGACTAACAGCTTATCAATCTTACATTTTCTTTCCAAATCAAACCGAACATCCTCGGGCAATTTGGCTATTCATATCATCATAAATATTAATTTTTGCCATTATATGCATAATCAGTTACCAAGCTACAAAATGCAAGTGAACGCAAATACCACCAAGCACTCCATACGAGTACAATGTCAATTACCATAAACATTTAACTGTAGAACAAAAATATCAAAACAGCAGTGACAAAGTTTTTATTTTATTTTTTTCAAGAAAAAACTGTAAAAGCTGTTCTTAATCAGCTTTGAAAAAGAAAAATTAAAAAGGACAATGAAAGCTCGTTGGGCAGTCATTCTTTTTCAACAAATCTACATAATTTCAAACCGACAAATCATAGCACAACTAAAACAACATACGCTAAAGCTCGCTCGACATTATACAGCACAACTATGTATTTTTTGTTAAAATAGTATGACGGGTCGACTGAACCAACGGTTAGTTCGACTCAAACAAGAATTTATGTTTGATTCACATAACTCAATGGAAACAAAAAAACAGTGACCACTGACCATAGGCGATGGCGCATGGTAGGAAAAAAGCAGTAGAAAGAAAGGGTAAAAGGGGGTTTCCGCACCTCGGCGGCCGGGCCAGCAACAGTCGCGACTGGTCGGCGGACAGCGAATACGACGGCGGCCCGATTCCAGACGAAGAAGAAGGAGACGGAGAAGCTGAGTTGGTCTTCTCTAATGAAGATGCTAAAGAACTTATTTTTGCAGTCGTTTCCTGCGCCTGCGATACGGCGCTGCGGTACGCTTTCTGCAATTCGTCCATTTTCGCTCGGATCGTTTGGTGGTGAGTTGAGGGAGGAAGAAAAATTGGGGGATTTTGAGGAATTACTTTATTAGGGTTTAGCTATAGGGTTTTGATTTTTTTTTTTTTTAAATCTAATGTGGTAATAACTAAAACACTTAGGGGGGTTACAACTTGCAAATGAACTTTGTCTGGGTGGTGTAGTCGGTTATCACGCTAGTCTCACACACTAGAGGTCCCCGGTTCGAACCCGGGCTCAGACATATACAAAGTTTTGTAAATAAAATGTTTTTTACAAGGATTTTGTTTTTCTTTTTTTTTTTTATTTTGTCCGTGCTAAAAATATCATGTCCATATATCACCACAATATTAGGGATGTAAATGGGTCGGGTTGGGTACGGATTTTGGCAAACACGAACCCGACCCGCATATAATTTACCCTACTTAAACCCGACCTGTTACCCGACTAGTGATCTTTGAGTTCGGGTTGGATTTTACCCGGCGGTTAGTGGGTTTTCGTCGGGTAAACGGGTAACTCGAGTCTTAAATTTGGGTTTTAACCGACCCATCTCGTTTCATATGAAAATAAAATAAAATAATTTTACAATTAATTATAATGTAAGAAATAATTTATTAACTAAGTTTGACAATTAAAAAAAACTATAAAAAAAATTATATTATTTTTGGAATAAATAATGAGATATGATTATTTTCCTTTTATAGCCTATTTAATATTATAACATTTAAAATTAAGTATTTAATTTTTTTATTGTACAATTAACAAAAAATAATAATAAAATTATAAAAAATAAAATAAATTAAACCATTAATCAAAATTATAATAGATAATCTAATTTTTAAAAATAACACTTGACTACTTTTATATTTATTATAAGTTATAAACATATATATGTATGTATGTATGTATGTATGTATGTATGTATGTATACATGATTCAATGGTTGCGGGTAAACGGGTAGGGTAATCGGGTCGGGTAATGAGTTTGCCTACTATACTCGCACCCGACCCGACCCGAGGTTCGGGTAGCATAATTATACCTTAACTCGACCCGAAACCCATTCATCTCGGGTTTACCCGACCCAAAAATGCGGGTAACCCGCAGGTAACCCACCCTACGGGTTTTATTGACATCCCTACACAATATATACTCTGTCGATGACAAATTTCAGTGTAAAAGTACGCCGGCCTAATCTACATCGACAATTATTTTTCATAAGTATGTATAAATTCATCAAAAAAATGTCACAATTTAATTATAGAACAATATATTTGATAGCATAGATTTATTTTTAAATATATATATATATATATATATATATATATATATATATATATATATATATAAGGATCTAATGATCAAACTCTATAGCAAAAACAGTCGAAGACTTGTGTTTTGAATAGAATTTATATCTACATAATGAATCAATTCTTATTGTCATAATAATTGGGATGATGTTGAGCGGGAAATTTTTTTCGTCTATATTTCAAATTTAATTAACATTTATTTGTTAGCAAAATTTTATGCATGAAAAATATAATTAATTTTTATACACTCAATGACTATTACTCATTAACTACAGCTTGGCTTAAATTGAAATTTTGACCGTAGATTTATTAGATATATTTTTCAATAAGATCTTATATTAATTTAATAGTAATTTATTGACACAATTCAAAAAATTATTATGAAAATCGATTCGATTCAATATATTTCATATATGGTTGTAGATATTAAGGAAAATGCTACAAGTACGTAATAAATGTACATAGAAGTATATATAACACTCACATGGAGTGGGACCCACTTGTTTTTTTTTCTATTTTTGGTGGGTCTCAGTCAATGAGAGTGTTATGTACACCCCTATGTACAATATTATGTACTTATAGCATTACTCCGATATTAATCTAATTAAATATATTCAATATTCATAAATACTTAAAATAATTAATGAAATAATTAGAATAACTATATTTAAATCATAATAACTTAATAAATAACTTAAAATATTAATTAAAGTTTCTAAAATATAGTCAATTTAACAATAAAAAGGTACATCCCTATTTAATATATCATATGCAGTGATAATACTATTTAAAATTAAAATAATATACTAATAAAAATAAAAGTTGATGGTCGGGTGCAATTCAGAATTATGAATTTCACCTTAGAAGTATTTATGCACATTAAAAAACTATACAATTTTGAAAAATATATTTTTTTCTTATATACTATTTTATAAATGAAAAATAAGTCAATAGAAAAGCAATTTATGATATATATATATATATATATATAATGTTTGATTATTTTTTAAATAATAACTATTTCCATCCAAAGAAATCTATTCACTATTTTAGGAAATTAATTTAACAATTTATGGTGTATTTCAAATAATCACTTATGAAAATTACGACTCATTATTTAAGGCATAAGCCATAAAAAACTCACTTTTATGATTCTTTAATTACTCAAATCATGTGAATTTGGCTAATTTACTTAAATATGGAAATTTCAGTTGCAATATCATTATGTGTTTTGGTAAAAAATTCCAACTAAATTGTGTAATTAGTTATTCAGTAGTGTTTTATATTTTTCATGATATTATTTTGTGAAATACATTTTTAATATATTTTAATTACGCAAATTGTATAAATCCGAATTATTTATTCAATCTGAAAATATTTACTAGAAGTATGAAAATATCAACTAAAATAATCAATTACGGGATTTGCAAAAAAATATTCTAAAAAATTGTGTTATTGACAATTTTTAGCTAAATACTATTCAATGATTGTTATTTATTTTTTGTGTATTTAATTACTCAAATTTTGGATAATTAAGAAAATAATTAGACCATAAAAATTTACAGTTTTAAGATACCCTAATTACACAGTCGAGTAAATTTGGTTGATTTATTCAATCATAATATTTGATAAAATTATTCCAAAATAATTGTATTAATGACAACATATATTTAATTATTTTTTAATAACAATTTTTTTGGTTTCTTTTTTATCTATAAAAAACGTGGGTCTCGATATTGTTTTGTAAGCTGGGCAATTAATTTTGTGGTAAAACTGAATATCATTTTTTGTATTTTATTGATAAAGTATGAAATCGAATTATTTGTTATACTATATATCGATCCAATATACCTGCTTATTGTAACAAAATTGTATCTCAATATATTTTTTTTTATATTGCTAAGTATTTTACTCGATACTAATGAGAAAAAAATTTGCAGATCACTATAATTTGTAAATGTGCGTGGAACATACCAAATTATTTTGTGTGTGTGTATGTGTGTGTGTGTGTGTGTGTATATATATA